GTGAAGATATTAATTCTCATTCATACCTTTCTACATTGAAAATCGTGTATTTTAACAATGCAAACGAAAATCATGAATTCTAACAATGCAAACTTTTTTGTGCGTTACTTTTCAATAGCTGAGGAGAAATAAATTTAATAGCTTTATACATGATAATTTGAGAGAAAAAACAATAACCTCAAAAACGGGGCTCAGATGTTTTATAAGATTATTTCATGAATATCGAAAGTGTTGTTTCACTATTTTCGTCAATACTACTGAATGAGGAAGCTTTTGCATGAATATTTATATATCTCTTATGGAAGAGAAATATGTAATCCAATGTAATCATATGAATAAATGAGCTGTTTTTTCAGCCTGATACAACCAAAGTATGAGAGTGAAACACCGCCAACTACAGATCCTTGTAGTCCAGATGGCAGTCTTCCTAGGACTCCTTCCCCAGCAGGTAGTTGTCTTTCTTCTCTAGTTAAAGACTTTATTCTTTTATTTCATTACTCATGACACTTCTCTGTTTATTTGCATTTTTAGTAAAACTTACTTAAGGCATTTGTATATTAAACTATGATATTTTTTTCTAATTTTCTCTGTCCATAGACGAAATCCAGTCCAATGCAGAAGAGATGGCCAATATCCAGGGAGGAATAAGCGATTCTCTTACTCAGCTGGTGGAGAACCAGAAAATGGTTGTTGCTGCACTGTCAGAATTGGTGAAAGACCAGAAGCAGTTGGTGGCAAGCCAGGAGGAAATGGTGGCAGTGGTGAGGGAAGGGGTAAATGCCATCCGAGGGGCCTTGGATTTGTATAGGAAGAAGATAGTAGTAGGGTAGAAAAAAAAGTTTTGTATATTTGTAAGGAAATGTATATTTTTGTAAAAAAAAANGCACCAGACTCGTGTATTCAACATGTCTAACTTCCTAATCGCATCTATTTGGATGAGTTATTTATAATGGAAGCAGCAATAAATCTACGCAGTGCGTATATATATATGCAGTGTACATTGATCCTACTTTTCGAAACATTTGATCCATAAGGCAGCCAGTCTACTCCTGCATTTCTGATTTAAGCATTCAACATCTTGGCTTAGGAGGAATCATGACTCCTAGATATTTATATGCCTCAACTTGTTCAATATCCACTTCATTTACCTTAAATATCTTGTTCCTATCTCTGCTGTTATGACTATATAGTTTTGTTTTCGCAGACCTAATTCATTACAAATGGACGACACAGCTGTCAATGCACTTTCCATTTCAAGATAGTTTTTTGTCTGAATTAGAACGTCATCAGCATAACCTAATACAAGCCCGTTGACCTTCGCCTGATACCGTTTGATAAAAGCATTTATGAGCACATTGAATAAAAGAGGGCTTAATACTTCGCCTTGTGGTGTGCCCAGCATCACGTCTTTCTGTTCGCTTATGTATCCTTGGAAAAGTACACTTGATTTCTATTTTGAAAATATCCATTTATCCATCTAAGAAGATGTCCTCCTATTCCCATCTTAGATAGTTCATGTAAGATGATATGACGATTGGCGATGTCAAATGCGGATTTAAGGTCCAGAAAGACAATGAAACAATTGTCCTCAAGAGTTGTGAGAAAGGTCGTCATGCAATCTTGGACACTTTCCTGGTAAAAAAAAAAAAAAAAAAAAAAAAAAAAAAAAAAAAAAAAAAAAAAAATAATAAATAAATAAAAATATATATAATATATATATTATAATAAATATATAAATAAATATAAATATAATATATAGTAGATTATATATATATTATTCGATAGCACATGCATCATCCCTTCAAAAGTTTTGCCATACAACTAGTGAGAGAAAATAGGTCTATTCATTCAGACTGTTAGGCTTTGGTATAGTATTATGTACTCCAAGAATATGTGTGTCACCTTTCTCATAAACCAACTTATAAAACGCGAGTATAGGATCACCAGGTACACCAGGTTTCTCACTTTCGGCTGCTGATCCTCCTGGTCCATCCTGGGTCGCCACGCCTTGCCTTCCGCTGGCACGAAGAGGTCGTGCAGCCGACAAAGAGGCATGCGAGGCACCTGGGCTTGTGTCTTGGAGTTTCGATTTTTTCCTTGCTTACCGGTTGAATCGCTGATGAAACGAGGGCTTTCGGACAGTCCTTATGCCAAGCTCTCACGCCTCTTTCATTACAGTTGATCACCTCTCCGTCACAGCAACTCCTTGAGCTTCCTTGTCGATGATGGAATGTCTCCCGGCACAAACCCCGCACCAGTCCGACGTCGCGTTCTGATCACGTGGCCCCACTTTTTTGGCATTTGTAGCATTTTTCTGCTGGAGGCTGAATAAGGCTACACTATTAGCCGCCCCAGGGACAAAGATTCTCTCCAAAGGTGCGCCAGGGCCCGTCCACTTCTGCCACGACGATTTGCCCTTCAGCCGTCTGGGTCTGATGGTCGACTCGTGTCTCTCGAGGACTGATACATCTTGATTAAGGCTGAGTCCAAAGACGATGATATTGACTCCTCTAGGATGCTGGTGTTGCTGGGTTGGCTCCCGTAGTTTAATGCCGCCGAATTCTGTTTTTAGATCTCGTACTTCGTCATTTTGTTCAATCATGATGTAATTGTCTTCGTCTCTCTTGAAGATGATCTTGATGTTGTGATGTTTTTTTTTTTCTGCAGAGCGTCTAGGAGCATTTATATTTAGTAGGCAACATCGGTTTTGTGGGAAATCCAGAGACTCTTGTGTGCTAGAAATGACTCCCCTCCTCGCCCGCAGCCGACCGCAGTGGCGACCGTTGCTTTGGGAGCCCTTTGCTGGTTCTCTGAGAGTCAGAGTTAATGTTTCGCTATTTCATTCTTTCTTCTCGTCTTATCTGATTCCTGCTTTTCACAACCGTGAATCCCTCGTCATCTTCGCTGCCTTGCTTGGCTACAGCACCGCCCTCTTTCATATCTTCGCCCGAAGTTGTCGTTAATTTCTTCTGCGGTTTCTCGCGTTTCAGGAAAGGTAATTTCTACTCCGTCATTGTCGAGGTTTGATGTTTCTTCGCTGCTTGATTCTGCTGCTCGCTTCGTAGGATTGACCTCGCTTTCCATAAGACAGGCACCCGAAAGATCTAAAAAATCTGGCGCTGATGTGGTAACACCTGCCCTGACGTCAGTTTAGAAAGGGTATTCCTAGTTTGCCTCAGGGAATGCCCAAACCCCGGCAGGACAGGGACGGAGGGGAGGCACAACCTGCATTCAATTTCACTCGATTTTTTCGCAAAGTTCAATTGTCCAAAAACTACCTTGGAATCACAATGATCGTATATGTCTCTCACCGTGTTCAGTAGTTCCTTAGAGAGAGAGAGAGAAGAGAGAGAGAGAGACGAGAGAGAGAGAGAGAGAGAGAGAGAGAGTGAGAGAGAGAGAGAGAGAGAGAAGAGAGAGAGAGAGAGAGAGAATACCACTTTAGCTTATCGACTAACCTATTCAAGAAAATTTGGAACTTATACTTTCTACACCACACCATTAACTTGACTGCTAGAAGAGTGGACGTGAACCCTTTGGAAGTTTTTCGTCTTTTTTTTTTTTTTTTTAAGAAATGTCAATAAATGAAGGCTCTTGTCATGGACACAGCCGTCAAGCCCTTGGGAAAAGTTGTCTTTTTGCTGTGTTGTATCTGACTGATGATCATTCAGATCCAATCATTAGGATATATATAATGTATTATATATAGGTATATATTAGGTAGTATAGAGTTATTGGGGATGATGATATGTAGGGTGTATGATGCGTACGGTATGATTGTGGGTGGTTGCCGTTGCTTGTGTGCCGCGATATCTGGTGGGTATAGTATAGTTGTCGATTAGATAATAGATAGGGGTACATTATATAATAGTAAATATGTATAGTATGACATGTGCTACTATATGTAGTAGTGTAGTATAATATTGTACAACACACACGACACAACATAGTAATATTTTAGTTNTGTGTGTGTGCAGATACGCACGTGTGTGTGTACCTCTGTGTTTGCGTGCGCATATGTGTATATGTATATATATCTATAGATTTATAGATATGTACATATATAAATAAATATGTATATATACATGTGTATATATGTATGTATGTATGTATGTGTATCATCATCATCATCATCAAAGGGGCTGACGCCGACGGGGCGCATAGCCGCATTCACCCACGGAGGTCCCTCATGGCGAGTCGGCAAGCAAGCCCTCGGCCCATCTCTAGTTTTTCCCGACAAGTCAGGTTGAGCTGCCCAAGCTACGACTTCCTAGGTCTTCCCATCGGCCTCCTCCACAGGGAAAACGAGCTAGGTGCCCAATTCGCTCGAGTTGGTGGTCACGGATTATGCAAGTAACATGTCCAATGCTTCTCACGGTTTAGTCGTCGGTTGGAAACATAGTCCTGCCAACTGTGCACTATGATCCGGCGTAGGGACTTGTTACAAAAGGTATCGAGATGTGACTCCAAAGCACTAGATGGCGTCCAGGTTTAGCTTCTATTGAACAAAACTGACAGTATTAAGGCTTTGATTATATAGTGACTAGTCTGCAGTATATATACGATTTCACTTGCCAGTGTAATGTAAATTTCATGAATCACGTGTATTTTTCTGTATATGATCGCACAATGTTTACAGGAACCCCGCAGCCGAGCGCACAAGCCAGCAGACGATGGTGATAAGTCGTCTTGCCAGCAACTTTGTATCGTGTTTCCCGTATCTACAGAAACACGCACAATTGCCTCGAAATCTGGAACAACACCTGCGAAACAAATTTGGATTGCTGCTCAACGGGTGATCAAGTTTTCAGATACTTTATTGCGGGATTGTGGCTCAACAAAGTATCTCGGTCTGGACGTGAGTATGAAATCACATCTTGCAACTGTTGCGAGACATTTTTGGATTTGTTGAGCTGCTGTTTCAGATATTGTCCAGAAAACAATGTAGCTTTGTCTGGACTAGGTTTAAACGTTCTTTCTCGATCCGAAATACCAACAGGATTTGAACAAAAACACAAACAAATGCGAACAATATATTTTATTACATAACTTGTATCTGGATGGAGATGGAAAATAAATAAATTCCCTACATGTTAAATTCTAAGAGAGGAGACCAGTGCTTTAACAGTAGTGGGCCTTTTGATGAGTGATTCTTCTTTTCCCTTACTACAGCCATGTTAATTCATGTCCTACAAACGTGATTCTGTCTAAACACGAAAAAATACTCTTCCGTCAATTATAAAATAATATAAAGTTCTAAAGATAATTACAGAACAGTTACTATGGACAAATTATTTTATTAAAGTTCTTATAGATAATTACTGAACACAACGGATAAATTATTTGTCATAAGAGCGACGACAGAATCACATAAGTAAGATCAAAACATCTGTATACAGGAATATTCCTTAAAGATACATTCCTTTACATCTGTACATTATATATTTTTGTATGATCTGTTTTTTAATCATTTATCTGGACTGAATGGCTTTCTTTACATTATACACTTTTTATTATTATATATACACATATAAGTTTAAAAAAAGAACGTTCAGTATCTCATTTGACTAGTGATGGACTGACAGCTTTTACATATACACATAAATTCTTTATCAAAACACTTTTTCTTTTCGTTAAATATATTTCAACTTTTCAAATGACCAGAATACAACAGGAAAAATTGCCGTGCACAATTCTGGAACGTCGCAGATTATATATACCAATAATTAATTATGGAAAACAATAAAAAAAAAAATAAAAAAAGCAAAAAGTAGACTGTGACTTCCCTCAAAACAAGAGTTTTTAACCTTATATTTCCATAACGTTTTTTTGATGGTAAAAAAACTACTGTTAAAATAAAAATATCTGGATGTTTCTTTTTT